AAATTTAGTTTCAAGTCCAAGATCAGCTGCAGACTCCCCATATGAAATTAAGTAAATGGCTTAATTTCTCATTGGTGTCAGCTCAGATGTCGGAGAGGCATACTTCTCTTCCTTCTACGTTTTCCTAGTCTAGACTGAACGTTTTGGGAAGCTGATGCCATTTGATTCTTAAGTGCTGAATGCAAATGCGTTAGGAAGTGCAGAAACACGGTTGTCTTGGTCCTTGACTTTATAAGCTCCGTAGCCAGCAAGAAATCCAAAATGTGTCTGACCGTGGTTGAAAAATACCAGTGAGCCATCCTGTTTGGCTTTTTTTTAATAGCTTTATGGACCTCCACATGAACTATTCGTTGTGTCTGGTAGAAAAGTAGAGCAATATGCCACCCCTTCAGCGTTTATTCAAAGACTTTTCTCCCTGCTTGTCCCTTTTCCTGCCTTTAGCTCTTCTCTTTGTGTGCTTCAGTGTATCAGTGCTTGGCAAAGTGTTAGGCTGGCTGTATGGAGAGATACACCAGCTGCTGCTTTGTTACAGCAGTCCCAAATGTGGTCAGAAAATGCTTTAGCAATACCCTTTGATGCTTTAATAAAGATCCTGGGAATTTAGGAATAAGCATGAACAAGGCAGACGTGCGCTGCAGTGAGCAACGGGTGAGCGTGAGTGATAGACACTATCGTGGGTCATTGCATTGTAACTGTCCTCAGTGTCCTAGGCTAAGAAATTGTGCATTTGTATTTTTCCCTATGGCTTGCAAGCTCTTCTACTGAGTCACAAACTGTCTCAGTAAAAACTACCTGCAAAAGGCTTTTTTTAAGGGATAAATGTAGTGCCACAGAGACTGGGTCAAGAGCAAATAGTGTGTGTTCGTGGGTACACGTGCATGGGGGATAATAGTAGATTACAAGGGGATGAATATTCTGGTGAACAATTGTCCAAGACTCTAAGTATGTAAAAGGAGAAGATAGGATTTCCTATGCTGTGTTATTATTATTTTTGTAAGCTTTTAATTAAACAAAATCCATAGCACCAATGGATTTTTTAAATGCAGATGTGACTGTTCATTCCCATAATCAGCACTCATAAAATATTTTTTTCCCTGAACTCTTCTGACAAAATTTATGTCCCAAGAGAAAATTCAAGGAAGCAAACACAGCAACATTAGTACCATGTGTCTTGAGAAAGCCTGAACCAAACAAGATGTATGTCTTGCAAAAAATGAACAAACAAACAAAAAACCCCATGACATCCCCAGTGTTGTGCACAAACAGCTCTCAGCACTACAGAACGAACTCTTCTAGCAGAAGTTTGGGGATTTTGTAGCAGGAATTTCACTCTCCTAAGTTCTGTGGGGTTTGCACATTATGATAAAATCAGGAGGCAGAAATATGAATGAGTTAATGGATTTTACAAGTGGCTGCAGCCTTGATTTTGTTTGCGATTGATTATTCCTAAAGGGAGAAGTACCCTTGTTCCATCCATTCCCATATCCCTCCTGAGAATTGTTCAGGATATGTATGAAAAGGGAAACAAAAAGCAGTACTTCAGGCACTGCTTGAACCCTTTGAAATAAGAGGCTGCCTCTGCTATGGAGTGTTAGCTTCTGAGAGCAAGCGAGCACCATGTGACAGCTTTCATTTTTAATTTCTTTGCCTTTGTAGGTTTGACAGACTCTAACGAGCTGTCTGTATTAACGAAGCACTAAGTACATTTTATAATTATAAGGTTCTGAATATAATTACTGTGTATACTGCATAATTTAAGTTCCAACTGTACTTGCGTCTCTCATTTACCAAGCTAGTGAAGGATATAATAATACTGAAAACAATAACAGCTCGGTGCTTTCACAGAGTTGTTGTGGGGGGTTGCATTTTATGACTGTGATTGTGATACTTAGGAAGAGATCCTGGCTGATAAAATGACGTTAGTTAAAGGTTAATGTTATCTCTAAGATGAGTCTTTTCCTTGCAAGCTCTGAGTAAGGAAATGTCTGATACTAAAGGTGTGTTTGGAGACTGGAGACCTGCCAATTTTTGCAGAGTGAGATCTCAGACATAGGGTGCATTGAGGCAGGGGAGAACAGAGCTGCTCCTAGGTGTAAAGATATTCATTGAGAAAACCTGAGCCTTTTCTGCCCAAGGAATACTTGGTAGGATATGGAGTACACACAATAGACTTAAAGTTTCCATGTTTTTCATTCCAATAACTGTGCAAAGGGTGGAGCAGGGAATTGAGCTGTGATTCCTTGCCTTTCAATTGCTGACATTCTGCAGAAATCAGCCAACAGCCTCTTCTTCCGCTCCCCTTTGATACCAAGTTGCCAAATCAAAAGGCAGCTTCCATGAAGCGGTAGTTTCAGCCACACTTTTTTAAACTAAAGTCCTATTCTGTCTTTGCAGCTTGCCAGTTACCACAAGAGGTACTGAACTCTGATACAAAGCAGACTGAAGTGTCTGACCTTATCCATGGGCTCCGTTCTCCAGCTATGTGGTGCGCTTCATCAGCACCGTCGTGTTTGTAATGGTACATACGTGCCCTTTTTGCAGGGTGGATTCTGTGGGCTTGTCTTTTTTCTTTCCCTCTGTTGAAAGGGAGTTTGATAAATCCCTTCTGTAATCTAGCAATGGAAAAATAGGTAACAAGAAGTAACCCTCAGCCTGTGGTTTCTGGCAGAGGAGGTTTAAGGTGGCTATTGCTACTTGAGGTTGCAGATGGGCTGTGAGGTCCTTTAACTAGTCTCCAAACAAAAGAAGACAATTTTTCCTCCTATTCATACTGTTTAAGATTTTATTGCAGAGAAATTGCTCCCAGAGCTGTCAGCAGCAGCCTGCCATTCGACTTACCGAACACAATCTCCAAATGCTGCTACTAGAGCAATTTTCCTTGACAGTTGTTCTTGCCACTAAAATGTTTCCCCACTGGATACTTGTTTTCCACAGGCTCAAATTAAGTGTGTCCCCCCCCCCCTTTTTTTTATGTACTTAACACATCAGTATGTCCACATCCGCACTAATAGTTATGGAAAGGTAAAGTAATAAAAATCTGAAGTACCATTAGGTGCTAGAAGGTTCATCAAAATATACATATTTGTTTAAAAATCGGTGTAGTTTATTCTTCGTATGAAAGTTATTGAAATCACTGAATCAAGGAGAATACTGGGCTTCCCATTGAGCAGTGAGAGAGAGCAGTAAGTGAATGAAACGCATCCTGAATGGAATGAACTGACCTTGTTTATGTTTGGACTGACTTAAGTTTATGTCAGAACCACATATTTTTACTCCTCATTGTTAACTGAGTTGGAGGTACTTGAGATAGGAGAGCAGCGAGTCTGTTTGCATCAGTTTTGTTTGAAAGAATTAACATCAGTGCTTTTTGTGCTTTAACCTAGGTTTTCTTTTTTGTAGAACTTGTGAGGTTTTGATTTTCATCTTTTTAAGATCTAAGGACTAGTGGAGAATTGGAGAGTGTTTGTGTCCAAACAAGGCAAATTTTGCATGAATTCTGTGGAGAATCTTTATCTTAACTTGATTTTAGTTAAGACTACTTGAGATTTAGAGTTTGTGATGAAAATTCAAGCCATATAATTTCCACGTAACTTCAGACTTACAGGTATTTGTCTATCTTCATTTAATCAACCGAAGGAGTTAATATCTATATGCCCACTACTCATTGCTTAATTTGGGTATTACAAAACTAAATCAAACCTAAAAAGCTGCAGAATCTAATGAGCGATCCTGTGCATATGCAAACACATGGTATGATATAATGACTTAATTTTCTCGTTTGTATGCCCGTGATGATTTTAGTGTGATTAAGCATTTCTAAGATACAACACATTTGTTCTTGTCCCTTTCAAATGGGATGAACAAAAGGATCCTCTGAATTATCACTGTTTCATTCCACATTCTTGCCTTATGTAGAATTGGTATTACTCAGATCCTCCTTTAGCTGCGCACTACCTTTCATCCTTAATTTTGATAAGACATCCCTCGTCGTGATTACAGTTATTTTTTCAAAAGACAGTTGAGAAGGAGGGAACATCAACTCTGTGGTCACGGTGCCTTCTCTAAGTTCAAGCAATGCCCCTTGAGTGTGATGAAGAAAGAAAAGCTTACACAAAGGAGAACAAAGCAGGGTCCCCTACTTTGCTATTGAAGAGTCAGTAACAACTGTCTCGTTAAAAATTCCCACCCCTGACATAAGGCTGCAGCCTGCAGGGCTGGTAGTATTTGAGTTAATCATCTGGCCTCCCAGTGTTTCGCTCTTGGGAGATAAGGGGGGAATATTACAGTTGGACTGGAATATCTTGCTTTAGGAGCCACAATGAGGAAAATTTTATTGATGAGTAGCAGCTACGGGCCTTTTAAACTTTAATGCAGCTGCTTTACTATTTGGAACAGTGGGAAATTCTTTATCCTTGAGGTGCAGTGAGAAAGCTGCACTTACTGTAGTTACATTTACAGCTAAATTATCAAGTGAAGTGCAGCCGTATGAATAAACCATTCTCTTATGTGAAAATTGGTTGCTGGAGGCCAGTTCTATGTTTCCACAGGGTTATCAATCCTTTGAGTTCTTTTCTGAGAGATTATTCTTACGGGAAATACTTCAATGTGTGTGTGTCCTTTCAGAACATCCAGTGGTGTGTTGCAGACCTGAATGGCTTGAGCCTGTGAAGGAGTGGTAATTTGAACCTTTGAGACCGATTTTATTCATTTAGACATGAACTGGTTTTTAGAGATCGTCACATCTGTCTTCCCTTCTTTTCAGACACTGCTTGGTTTTGCTAAATTTCAGACACAGCAGGAGGCTACCTTGTTATGCTCCAGTGACTTTAACTGCAGAATTCTGAGAGTCCTCACTATTGGACTAAAAAAAAGCTTGTTCTATGGTTAGCAGCGTTGCTCAGGGGTTGCAGGATCCAGCTTTGTATATGAATGGCTTATTTGGGAAGCTGCGATTGTAGGAAAGCTTTAAGAGAATTTTTGTTTTCTTCTTGTCCTTGCAGTGGCCAGTTTGCCATAGTGAAGAAATGTCGAGAAAAAAGCACTGGTATGGAGTATGCTGCAAAGTTCATTAAAAAACGTCAGAGTCGGGCCAGCCGTCGTGGAGTGACACGTGAGGAAATTGAACGGGAGGTTACTATTCTGCAGCAGATTCTGCATGCCAACATCATCAAGTTGCATGACATCTATGAGAACAAGACGGATGTGGTCCTCATCCTTGAGCTGTGAGTAAGGGGACTTCCTGTCCCCCAGGGTCAGATGAGGTAAATAAGAACCAGAAAGGGCTGCAGAGTCTGCCAGAGCTTGGAGGTGCTGTGAACACGGAGCTGTTGTGCTCTCATGCCTCACAGATCTTGGCAGGAGATTTGGAGGAGGCTGCTGGTAAACAGGCCCCCCCAGTTCATCCATGTGCCCTGGGGATACAGGTGCATCTTAATGTCAGCTAAAGGCCATTGTTACTGAGCCAGGGAGTGTTATGAATTTGAAAACAGTTTAGGAACAGAGGCATTACCTCACCTCTACCTAATGCTGCCCTGACTTGAACCTTGGAGGAAGTGCAAATGGCCTCCGAATACTCATTTCCTTTTTCTTTCTGCTTTCATCTCTCCCAAGGCATGTGAAGCCATCCAGTCCTTTGCAAAATTTGCCGCCTTTCTCACTATTTCTGTATTTTCCTCATTTAGACACTAGGGGAGAAGAGGGGAGGAGGGAAGGGGAGGCGTTTTTTTTAATCCCTAGACTTTGACTGTTGAGGATGAATAGCAGCAGGATGGGAGGGGATGAAAGCTGCTTGCTCTTCTTTTGTACTGCCATGTGATGGGGGAAAATCCCTGCCATTTAGGTCCTTCTGACAAGTGAACCTCCCAAGGGAGGGGGAGGTCTCTGGACTGCTGTGACCTCGCTCCTGAACTGTGACCCATTGGATAGACAGGTGGCTGATTTAGGATGACCATCAGATACCTTTGGCTATGTAATGCAAATTGGTTTGTGCTGTTTAAGAAGAGATTTAAAACTAGCTTGCAGCAGCTTTGCTGAGTAGGCTGAGAGGACAGTGGCTTATTCTGCAGAACCTGTGTGGGCTCCTGCCTGAATGAAAGAGTTTGCATTTTAGGGAGTCACCTTTGATGCTTTTGTCTGTATTTAATCTTACTGACTGGAAAGGAAGTGAGTGAACTTGGCTGATAGGTGTTACTATGTACACATATGCTGGTTTATTAGACTATGAAGCAGTAGCAAAATTGCCAATCTCTGCAATAGCTATTAAATTGCCTGCTTGAATTCTATTTGGATGTTTGTTTAATCAGCCTAGAAATACTACATCCCAAAGACATCAGCTGTTTCTTACACCCTGTTACCCTTCCTGTATGTTTGATGAAACTGAGGTGAAACTTTTGAGACTGATGCAGAGCACAGACTAGAAATGTGATCTCTTATAACACAACTGTTCAAGAGCAGGAAGAGCATTGTCAGGTCCACTGCTGTTAAGCGCAGTTTAGCAGGTACGTGGTTTGCCCGCCCCTGTGCACATCGTTAGGGCTACGCTCCCCAGAGCTTTTTGTGACTTTGCTGTTCTCTGTCTCCTGGGCCCTGCCTTGAGGCTGCTTTGCCCAAGCGAAGCAGTCTAAAGGCAGGTTTGATTGATACACGAGTCTCCTCTACTGGTAAGTAACAAGTTATCTGTGCAAAATAAACAGCTGTTTCCAAGAAGTAGAGCAGTATTATCATTTGTCTTTTATTAGACTTTGAAGGAAGAGCAAAACTCTCATTTGCTTGCTCTGTTGTTTGCCGTGGGAATAAGG